TGCAGTCTACGCATTTTACGAACGCTTCCCTCAAGCCGCGAAGATGTGGTGGATCTCTTTCGTCTTTCCTCCAGACTCCATCAACAAACTAGACGAGAGTCTTATTAATCTTACCAAGTTTCTCTTCACATCGAAATATCCACCATGGGGCATAGGCCTCAATTGCACACATCTTTCCCGAGTACCAGCTCTTCTTTCGCGCTTAGGGGAAGCGATGGCCAACCTAACTCTGTCAAAGGAGGAGCGCCCGTTTCTGGTGCTTTATCCAGATGGAGGTGCTGTTTATGATGTTGTGCAGAAGAAATGGGACTCGGATCCTGATGAGCCGAAAGTTTGGGCGAAGAAAATGGAAGAGATCGTCAACATCGAAGTTGTAAAAGAGTATTGGGGAGGGATTGCGGTTGGTGGATGCTGTAAAACAGGCCCTAGTCATATCAAAGAATTGAAAAGACTCTTTTCTTAACATTTCATCGAACATTTCATTCCTTCATATTTTGGGAAATGAGCAGTCACGTGGTGCCAGCGCGTCCCGCCGGCGGACGGCTTGCGGAACCGACGATGACAATACCACAACTTGGGACAGAACAACGACGACTCTTAACGCTGCTCTTAACGACTTTCTCACGACTTACTGCCCGCTCGTCATTAGACGAGATAATACCCCACTCTCTGCCTTAATATAGTCACCTCTTATAATTCCTACCTAATTTAATACGAATCATGTCTGACCCCGTCGCACTGGCTGAGAGTCTCGCTGCACTGGAAGGACGCCGAAATGTAGGTGTTCCGGACATCAGAATCATCTCTCCAACGAAGGAGAGGAAGAAGAAGACGTCGAGGGATTTGCCTCTCTCCCCAGAGCAACAATCTGTGAGTTTATTGTGCCTTCCATAAACGAGAGAAGTCTTATGTTCTTTTGCAGGAATGGGATGTCATTGCTGGAGCAGGTAACTGCATCGGATTTGAAGAATTCAAGAAGGCTTTCGAAATTCCTGAACTTGCTGCACTCGGAAGTCCCCCAGGAAGCCCCGTGAAGGCGAGGAAAAGTAGAGCCATCGTTCAGAAAGCACAAGAGAAGGAGAATATCGAGCCGCTGAAGCGAGATTATAATTCCCCGAGCGTCGGCCGTAGGAGTACTGGACGTGCGTTTTGCCTCTTTAGGTCTATCAACTGGAAGGCTGACTTGGTTGAACTGCTGCAGTCGAATATTCCAAGGGCACGGAAGCAGACGGAATTTCTGCTTTCGCGAAGGTCTCCGTCAAAGGCGCTGATAAGGACGATGGTTATTGTCCTCTCTTTTCTGTTCAAGCACAGGGCTGAGGCGATTGTGGACAGTAGCGACGGATATCGATGAAAGACATCAGCACAGTTTTCAACCCAAACCATTAATACTCTGTGAGAAGCAGAAGAATATTATCCCCCTCTTGGGAGAGATCGCAGACGGTCAGTTGTGTTCCTTTTCTTCTTTTCAGCGGAGCTGATTTAATTTCCGTAAGATTATGACCCCTTCGATTTGGACTATCTTGACGACGACGAAGATCCAGCTCCGCCAGCAGAGTTCTGTTCGCGCTTTCTTTTTCCCTTGCCTTCTCTGACTAATTTTGAATTTTTTTTTTAGCTATGGCAGCGAGCAACTCGCTCGAGAGGATCGCTGCCCTCATGGAGGCTCTTACATCTGAACCAGAGACGCAAGCGGAACTCCAGGCACGATATGCCAAGGGTGGAAAATCAGCAAGCTCCTCTTCTATCGCCTTCTAGCTAGGGCGGTAAGTCCATTCTTGCGATTCTTTTACTGAAGATAGCTGATCGATGGTCCCTCCTGAAGGCATTTCTACATACTATCGGACTCAAATTGTTCCGTTCAGCAAGTCACCGATCGTGTCTTTTGCCGCCATCTCTCAACTCGAGTTGGACGACCAAAAAGACTAAAGAATCTCAGTACACTCAGTTATCATTATTAAAACTCAAGATATGTTATGATTATGAATCAGTAAAGGGAAATGGATATGTATCTTATTCTGTCATCGATGCTGTGTGCTCTTCAAGTTCCCTGAGTCCTTGCTGTCCATATTTGTCACAAGTTTGCCCGAAGCGGTAGAAACCGGCCACCTTTCTCCTTACGGCATCTGAAATCGGGTAAGCTCGGATACCCCACATTTCAACATCTACAACACTTCCGGCCTTTACGACCTCATAAAGACTCCTTCCTATCCTCTCATAAATCACACGATCGAATTCACCACGGGAACTCACTGCAAACGATACCTCAACATGTCCAACTTTGTCAAGCAAGAAGACGAGACCTTCAGACGCGAAGTCGCTGAGGTAGAGGTCGGTTTCCCGCTCTCCTTCACTCTTTAATCTGATGGTGACAATTGGACTGCAGAAATGGTTCAACTCGCCCAGATTTTCCAAGCTCCGAAAGAGACCGTACTCAGCCGCTGATGTCGTCTCGAAGCGAGGTACGATTCGCCAAACTTACCCTTCCAACGTCATGGGGCAGAAGCTCTATGAGCTCCTCTCAAAACGAGCTCAGGAGGGAACACCGTCCATCACTTACGGCGCACTGGACCCGGTGCAGATCACACAGATGGCAAAATTCCTTGAAACCGTCTATGTTTCTGGCTGGCAAAGTAGTTCAACGGCGAGGATGTTGGACAGTTCGCCTACGACGTGAGAGCGTCATTTCACGTTGTTCTCTGTGAACGCCCCAGGTTTGATTAAAGTCCCACGTTTCCTAACACGAGGAAAGAAAGAGACTGGGTAAAATGGTTTCCTTTTGAGTGGTCGGTCTAGGCCGGGGTCCGAGTAAACACGATGAGCG